TAAGTCCACTGCTTAACATAGGCCTCCCCCAAGGAATGCCACAAAGCACGGTCATGAGCGACCTGCATCCATCGACTTCCTGCACGTCTTACCAGGTCGTCACTCCATCTTGTGGGGGTCGCCCTACACTTCGCCTACCGGTACGAGGCTGCCACTCAAGAACCTTTCTTCCCCATCGGTTGTTAGTTCTGCGATCTATATGGCCGGCCCACTGCCACTTCAGCTTACTAATCCGTTGGGCTATGTCGGTCACTTTGGTTCTATTGCGGATATCCTCATTCCTAAATTAATCACGCAGAGAAACTCCGAGCATAGCCCTCTCCATAGCTCGCTGAGCGACCTTGAGCTTCCTCATACGGCCAGCAGTGAAGGACCACGTCTTAGATCCGTAAGTCAACACTGACAACACGCACTGGTTGTATAATTTCGTTTTAAGGTTTTGAGGAATGTCTGACGAGAAGATGTGTAGTAGTTGAATCCGTCAATTGACCACTCGGTCGAAGTTGGACTTACCTAGTCGGACTATTTGTCCCAGGTAAACATACTCGTCAACAACTTCGAGCTTAGTGCTCCCAACAACTACCGGCATAAGTGTGGCATGGACATTGAACATGATCTTTGTTTTGTCCATGTTCATCTTAAGACCTATCCGTTGGGAGACACTATTGAGGTCATTGAGCATAGTGCTTAGATCCTCCAGCGATTCTGTCATAAGGAATATATCGTCGGCAAATCGAAGGTGAGAGATGTACTCGCTATTGATGTTAATACCGTATCCTTTCCAGTTCAGAAGCTTTAAAACGTCTTCCAATGCAGCGGTGAAAAGTTTCGGTGATATGACGTCACCCTGTCTTACACCTCTCTGCAACTGAACAGGTTTCGTACTCTGGTTCTGTACTCGGATAGCCATCGTATCCCTAGTGTACAAGCACTTCAGCACTTCTATATACCGACAGACAACTTGGCACCGCTGAAGGGACTGCAGCACCGCCCAAATTTCGACGGAATCAAAGGCTTTCTCATAGTCCATATACGCCAGGCATAGTGGCAAATTGTACTCCTCGGACTTCTGTACAACTTGTCGAAGGGTATGTATGTGGTCTATGGTGCTAAAGCCCTTTCAGAAACCGGCTTGTTCGGGAGGCTGGAAGTCGTCAAGTCTGCACGCGAGACGATTCGTAATGACTCTCGAAAACTGCACGTAGACGCGGCTTAGAAGGGAAATCGGTCTGTAGTTGTTAAAGAGAGCGTTGTCACCTTTCTTGAAGAACAAGACCACCGCACTTCTGCTCCACGCCTCCGGTGTAATGCCACCATGGAGGACGGAATTAAAGGGCTTCTAAAGGGCTGCAAGTACCGGCTTTCCACCCGCTTTCAGAAGCTCCGCTGTAATTCCATCCTCGCCTGGGGCCTTCCCGTTTTAAGACGCTGAAGAGCCATTCTAATCTCGCTCAGACTGACGTCCGGGATATCATCGGAATTGTGTTGGATAAGACTCGCTCTTGGATCGTTACTCAGACTTCCGTTTGGCTACAACGATGACGTGTACAGCTGCCAATAGAACCTTTTAATCTCACTCAAAATCTCAGGTGCCGCGGAAACGATGCTGCCACACTCGGTCCTCAGCTTTGACTCTTTCTGGCAGAGAGATCTCTGGCAAAGACTTTGGAGCCTTGTTTCTGCTCGATCGCTTCTTCAATACAAGCTGTATTGAAGTTGCGTAAGTCCCGCCGCATGCATTTGGAGATCTGTCTGTTCAGTTACCTATATGCTGTCAAATCTATTGAAGATTAAGAGTGTTATTAGAGAGTTTTTGTGTTCTTCTGCGGCGGGTCTTACAGAACTTAGCTCCGACCGTATGGACAGTTTCCACGAGCTTGTCATTCGTATCGTCCACTTCATTGCAGTTTTCTAGGCACTGAAAGCGGTTTTGTAACTCGAGCTGAAAAGTTTCGGGACTTTGAAACAGAACAAGAGGGGGACGGAGCGTTGACTTCATTAGACGAGACCTCTCCAACTTAACGCTTAGATTCAGTGTGTCTCCAATCATTCGGTGATCGCTACCAGTTTTCATCCTCGTGATCACGGAGACATCACTGAACAGTTGTCGTCTGGTCGTCATAATGAAGTCAATCTCATTTTTTGTCGAACCATTGGGGCTCGACCAGGTCTACTTCCTGTGGTCCTGCTTCTGGAAGAAAGAGTTCACCATAAAGAATACCTCTTTCTCCATGAAGTCGGCCAGCTGGTGGCCCCTTGGGTTCCGTTGCCCTATTCAAAAATTCCCTACTTTCAGCTGACCGTTCTCTTTTGTGCCTAGTTTTGCATTGAAGTCTCCCATTAACACCGTATATTGGATTTTGGAAGAATGCATGGCTCTAGAGATATTCTCATACATTTCCTCCACCTCCTCATCGGAGTGTGCCGAGTTTGGTGCGTAAACTAGTATGACCTTCAGCTAATACCGTTTGGTGATTCTGAGTATAAGGTACGCGACCCTCGTCGACACACTCTCAATCTTTACAATGTTGTTAAGGAGAGACTTGTGGACGATAAATCCGACACCTCCTTGGGACAGATGGTCGCCCTCCCGGTTATAGAGCAAGTTGCCGGATTCGAGGATTACCGTGTCCTCCCCCTCTCTTCGGACTTCGGATAACCCTATAATATGCCAGCGTAACTTGTCCATCTCTTCATCCAGCTCCACGATCTTCTCGTCAGTCCTCAGTGTGCGTGCGTTGTACGTTGCCAGGTCGAGTCACCTAAGGTGGCAACTGAACCTCCACCGAAGATTCTTAGCACCCCGCGGTTACCATGGCCGCCACCGTATCCAGGAATAGCGGGGCCGTCGGGGACTGGGGGCCGTCTCTTTGTTACTCTCTTCATAGTGGGATATTTACCATAGTTGCCACGCTTGGTGAGCGGGTTGGCAACCGCAGTTTTTTTTTATTGTAATTTCGGCTACTATCAGGAATATGCTGCTGCCCATCTCCTGCCTGTTTCCCTTTGTCGCCTTTTACGACACCCACGGGAAGATATGGGGTAATGGATATTCTTGACCGCCACTACACATCATATTGACACATATTACTTATTAAATAAAGGTACATATTTAAAAATGTTTTAACTAAGGTAATCGCTATTCTCAACTCGAGTGATAAACTTCAATCGATGCAGGGACTTTAATAATTAATTCGGATAACTCAAAAACTCGAGTACAACTAGAGTGACATGATAAAACCCGAGTGACTCGAGTCTCTTTAGAGTACTCGCATCTTTATCTTACGGTCAATGCAATAACTGTCTACATTTTAGTAGTGAAGTCGACTTACTAATTTAAGTAATTTATTGATATATTATGTAATATCAATAAGCGGATTAATTATAATTCGTTATAGTTAAATTGTTAATAACATTAACTTTACGCTACGTCGTAAAGTTATAGTTATATTATTTTATGAAGATTGTCTTATATATATATATATATACATATATATACATATTGTGTAAATTTAAGTAATATTAATTATCATGGATGTAAGAACAAATATAAAAATAACTTGTAACAAACTGATGCAGATTTGGTCCGCCGATTCGAGTTGCGTAACTCGAGTTCTATTCGAGTTACGTGAATTTCAACACCAGGTAACTCGAGTCGAGTTTTTTCCAAGTAAGCACATCTCTACTACGTTTTTTTTTTAATATTACGTTATCTGAACCAATGAAAAGAACACAAATATAAAAAAAACGAGTTCTTGATTCCTTTTAGATTTTCATGAAATCTTTATGCTATTTACGATAATAAATTGGTATCTTTTTTTTGTATATAATACCATTAAGGGTCCCAAAATTTCTAGTAGGCTCAAAAACGATTAACTCCTTTAAAGTAATTGTAATTTGAGGGTTTATGTAGGCAAAAAATCGTATAGAGATAGGGCTTATTTATGGGAAAATTCGATTCCTTCCTTGTTTTCACGCAACGCAACGCAACAAGCTTCACTCGGCTGCGAATACAATTGGTGATTTTGCCTCAAAGATCATTATCTCAATAGCCTAAAAGCTAAAACGCAGGTCTACAGTGCAAGTGCGCGATTACCGAATCCTGCAATGTGAACAGTGTTTTTTTAATATTTTGTTCTTTAGTATTCGGCCCATACGGTCCAAATGTGGACGAAAATAAATAACTATTGACTATTAAAATTATTTGTTCGCTGAGTTATTATGTATTTTAATGGTGCTAGTCGTACTACAAGCGTTAGTCCAAAAAAAATGATTATAGGAGCCTTACAGAAATTCATGGTTTCATCGACATACAATCACACCTATTTAATATTTTAAAAATTAAATTAAAATATATATATATTTCATGTCTAGTTATTATATACTGGTTCCTCGGAAGCAGTTCTAATGATTTGGATGAATTTTTGTAGGTACTCGTACGTACGTACCTAACGTAGGTAGTTATGTTTTACTATACAATTTTTTATACTCTTTATTGTACAACGGGAAAAATATAAATATTTAAGAAAAACAAATGGTGATATTATTGTTTAAATCTTATAGTTATTAATTTCATCCAAGCGACCTAAGAAAGAATTAAATACAATAGTACCATAGAAAATATTCAAATTTGCTAAGGTGCCACTCGGTGATATCAATGTAACAAATAGGGCAAGCGTATTTTAGTAGAAATGGGTATAAATTAGTAAAGTAGTTAACGTTTTACGGCTAACTGCATTAATTTGATAATATATTCATTTAAATTAATGTGATTTTTTTTGATTTAACATTAAATTAGACTGACGAAACGAAATAACATTAAATTCCGATATTATAAATCTTCACAATAAAATCAAATTTACTCTATGGCACCTAAAAGTTTCAACACAACTGGTTAAACATCAAACTTGCTAGATTCCATTACAATAAAATATACATGCAAACTTTCATATAAACATACCAACAGGTCGACTAAAACTTATTATGAAAGAATTTAAGGATTAAAAAAAACGTTTAAGAAACAAACTTGCCTTTGGTAATTCCTTTGGAGATTTCTGGTGTAATCCTCCCATATGTATGACATTTGGTGGCACTGGATAATTTCCTTCCCAAATCGGATTAACATTTAACAATAACATATCAACATTATTTTTTAAAACGCTTAAAGGTGGAGTATCAGGACCAAAAATGGTTTTAATCTGTTTGTTGTAATTTTCCTCGCTGGAACTTAAAATATATCGAATTCGAAAGTAATTGTACAGTTCGGTCACTTTTTCCCATAAATTCAAGTTATATAATCTTTGACGATGCAGGTTGTGGTATAGCGTAGGATGCGTTGGTGCTCCCATTATTTCATAAGTTCCAATGAATGGTCCAAAAGAGCTTACTAAAACTGTCGGTGCTTTAAAAATGTGTGTAAATCCCAGCACTGGTACAAAAAATGCTTCCAAAAGGATCAAATCGAACTGTCGTTTTTTATCGATAATAATTTCATGTACATCCTTCACTCTCATTTGTTTTTGGAATATCTCTTCAATTATCTTAGGTATTACCAAAACTTGATTTATTAAATCATCCTCACTTCCAGTAACGGTAGGAATGAAATTTTTCATAATCTTGTATGAGATATCATGGACGTCAATTTCTCTTAAATTTTTAGGAGCAGTGTCATTTTTAAAATAGGGATCTGGAGTTATCACTGTAACTTCATGTCCTCGCTTGATTAACTCCAATGTCAGGGGCCGAAATACTACTTGATGACTAATTGAAGGACATGGATATATTGCTAAAACTTTTGCTGCTTCAATGCTTATATTTATAGCACATAAGAAAAATAATAATTTTGTTATCAACATTTTAATATTTAGTTAGCTATTCGTTCCGACAAATGCTTCATTGTACGTAAGAGCTGTCTTATATATCAGTCCTTAAACAAAGTTTACATAATATTTCGACATCTTACAAGCGATAGAGTCGATGCAAGGACATATTGTAAAGAATATATTACAGAAATAATTTTTTTATTTTATGTTCTTTGAAGTCCGCTTTTACTTTTAATTAAAGGCTTAATTTATTATCTTTTTGAATGGACTAAAAAATATTACAAATTTGAATGTCTGTATCCAAATAGTTAAATTATTAAAAATGTGTTTCCTATTTTCTTCCGTTATGGGTATAATTTTTTCTTAAAATTTATATTAGACTCTTATTACTGAATGTGTAGCATTCCAGCTTCGTTCTCAGGGGTGACAACGCACCTGCATTTTGATTCTTTATTGAGCATAGATGTAGATATCTATGGTCCACTTACCATCAGATGGTTCGTGTGCTCACTTTTCGAGGTTAGTTTATTAAAAATAATATGATATCATAAAACAATAATGAAATCAATTTTTTTAGCTATTTGTTTTCTGCATAGGCTCCTTTTTAAGCCAGTGTAAGATTTTTACGTTTACAAATTTATAACACTAAACATTGCAAAAAGTTTAATCGATCTCATAGACAGGAAAAAATAATTTCTTAATAATAACTTCTGTATTCGGTGGTAAGGCATAGTATCAATATAATAAAGCCCCAACTTCAGAAGTTATAACGTGGAAATTTGTTTTTTTTTTAATAATTATTATTATCATTATTCTTTCCATAGAGTACGTTAGTAATTACAAAAAGTACTTATAAGCAAGTTAGTAAAAAAAATTAAATTAAAATGTTACATAATATATTACCTACTCTATCTACTTTATACTCGTATCAACCAAAGCAGGTCTCGAGCCGATATGGACACTGTTCCAGTGCTTCAAGATAGGATAGCAATAGTGACTCCCTATCGCCGCCAGGAGACTGTTGAAGCTGTCCCAGACGCGGCGCCATGCGGAGGCAACCCACTTGCGCATGATAACTCGGAAACTATCTATGTGAGCCTCAGCAAACATTGCACGAAGCGCTGAAGTACCGAGGCAGCCCCATCAGCATCCTAAAACCATTATTATATTAGACGCGCAGGGTTACAAGCGTCCTCTGTGTATACTCAACCCATAGAGTGCAGGTGTATAAAGACTGACAATAGGCTCTGAGGAGAGTTTGTTTAACTTCTGTATTACACTGTGCAAATCTACGGGCGAGCATATTCGCTCTCATAGCTAGAACCCCGCGTTTCCTCTCTATGACATATTTTCAGTAACGCAGTGCCACAGGTACTTAAAATTTGTCACTTTTCAGTGGTACGCCTTCAAGAGCGACAGTAGACAGTAGAGCTCTTATTTTTTGATTTAAATAATCCGAACTTACTCTCCGTAATATTATATCATCGGTCATGACCTGCTATATTCTTCTTACAGATACTAAGTAATTTTCTTAGGTCACTAATTTATAGGCACAGCAGCACAATATTGTCGGCGTAACTTATGTTGTTATATGGAATATTATCAATAGAGCAGCCGACTTCACCACCAGTGAGTTCACCAATCAGGCTGTTCACGTAGAGATTAAAAAGTGTAGGAGAAGACAGGCCGCTCTGTCTTAGCCCCCACTCCAGCCCATACGCCTTAGATAGCAATCCTGCCCACATCACCTGATTCTGTTGATTGTCGTACCAATACTAAAGCAGACCTTTTAAGTTATTAGAAAAGTCATTCGTTTCAGTAGCCAGCTTCTTCCAAAGTACATCGTATTTAACCGTATCAAAGGTTTTTAATAGGTCCAAAAAATAGGCTATAATAGGTGTACTACGATTTGTATAGTAACGTACTCGTACGTTGTGCTTGAGATAAAGTACAGCATTTTCTGTGAAGAACTGCAGTCTAAAACTGAATTGTTACCACAAATTTGTTTTTAGCCAAAACCAAACCAAAAAAAAAAAACTGATTGCCTTTAGTCCGAAGAATGTCCTGTTGTATTTTTCAGTACTGGCACAACTATCGTTTTCATAAAATCAAAAGGAAGTGCAGACGTGTTTCGTTTCGTAAAACGTATTTATTTTAAAAAAGAAGTAATTTACCATACTTTTATTATTTTTCTATATAATACAGTATTAAGCATTAACGTGTAAAGGTTTACCTTCTTATGCACTAGTTTTTTAGCACTGCACAAACTGCTGGAACCAAGATTTTTTTTACACACGAATAGTTGTTACTACATACGTCACTATGTCCACAATTGCCGATATTTCCAGAAGTCAGGAGTCTTTGGAAGCGCTCATCACCCGTAAAATGGCAGATTTTGAATCAAAACTCAACTCCAGCGCTTCCAAGAGTTGCAATGTAGACAGGATCAGCGAGGACTATACCGCTTTTCAGAGTTACGTCAAGGATATGTTTAACCTTCTTCGCCAGCAAATTGCAGAAGTCAGTCGCTCGCTTGACATTATAGAAACAAGGCATCGCAGGAAATTCCTTTTAATGGGCGGTGTCCCTGAAAAACCAGGCGAAGATTTATCCGAAGTCGTGATCAAAATTTTTCACGAAAATCTAGGTCTTAAAGATATAGCACCATCTTGTCTTCGAGCAGCATACAGACTTGGCCCGGTCAAATTACACCATACTCGTCCTATATTAATGCGCTTCACAGATATGTCACTGCGCTCAACTGTTTGGTTTAAAAAAACAATGTTAAAAGGCACCTCGTTTAAATTATCGGAATTCCTTACAAAATACAGGCAAGACTTATTTCTTCAAGCCCGTAAGCATTTTGGAATTAAAAAAGTCTGGTCATTTGAGGGCAACATAAGCGTTAGACTGCCTGACGGGTCTCGACGTCACATCTTTAGCGCTAATGACCTGGATGCACTACTGCGCGATCTTCATAAAGCTGGGTGCAACGAGGAGCCGGAACAAGTGAAGGCAGGAACTAGTAGTGTAGTTTCCCGTAGCGAGCAGCCAAGGACCCGACGAGCATTCAAAAATAAGTAAACATTCTCGGGATAGTGGTAATACTTTGTTTACACTTCGACGGCTTATTAATTACTACTACTGCTGTGTGTACTGTGTACGTCACTGAGCGCTTTTGTATTCGATCCTTTTGTTCTCCGCAACCGGTTATTAGGCTGATTTGCGACACAAGTAATAGTACAGACTAATCTGAACCTTAAATTTCGTGAAATTATGCATTAGAGTATTTTTTTTCTCGTTTAAATTACCACTTCTCGTAGTGATTAACATATGTTTTTTTTTCCTTCTTTTTCAATACGTACGAGTTTTGTTTTCTATGCAATTGTAAATAATTAAAATTAGATACTTTCTTGTAGTAAGTATTACTTGTTGTTTTCGTGTAATATTTTAATTTTTCTTTTTGTAAACAGTTTACCGGCGCGTTTGTTTGCAGTGCAATTATCAGTTAATAGGGTTTTTTTTTCTATATTTTTAGACATATATCATAAGTATAATCATATATTATGACAGATTCTGATACCAATGAACTATTTCTCTCTGCTGATTCAGACTCTTCTTTCTTTTCACTAAACGACTCTTTTTCGGAACCTACTACTCTTCGTTACCTGCTTACTCAAAAGTTTCATGGTTTGACTAATAACTTTAACGTTTGTTACATTAACGCTCAGAGCATTCCGCAACATTATAATGAACTTGTTGATACTTTTCATAATCAGTCTATTTCTGCGATACTTGTTTCGGAAAGCTGGTTAAAACCTACCTTACCGTCCACCTCCTTTGGAATACCTGGTTTTGTCCTCTTAAGAAATGACCGTACGGGCAAAAGAGGTGGTGGTGTAGCGGTATACTTACGTAATGGTATACCCTATAAAAAATTATGTGCTTCTTCATCTGTTTATTCTGGTACAATAGAATACATGTTCTTGGAGATTACCATCAGTGGGACTAAGACTGTTCTCGGTGCAATTTACTGTCCACCAGGAGTTAATTATTTTTGTGACCTTGAATCGGCTCTTTTTTCTATTGGCTCTGATTATCAGCACTTTATTATAATGGGAGACTTCAATACCGATATTCTCTGTAACTCAGCGAGGTCACGTGAATTGTATACAGTTATGAACTCCTTTAATTTGTCACTTCTTCCTCTCGACCCCACACACCACAATCTTGATACTGCTGATTCTTTAATAGATTTAATAGTGGTCGCTTCTGAAGACCATGTCGTTGGCCACGGTCAACTCTCCGCCCCTGGGTTTTCGCAGCACGATTTACTGTATATTTCTTATAGGATTAAATGTCCTAAGGTCAATCATGTGACGGTGCATCTGCGTAATCTAGCGAGACTTAATGTTGAAGAACTTCAGCAAGGTGCTTGTAGTATAGATTGGAGTGATACTTTCAGTGTGGAGAGTGTTGACGAAAAAGTAGCTCTTTTTAATTCAAATATACAGAAGTTGTTTGATAAACACGCTCCTCCACACAAAGTCAGACTGAAACGATCTCCTGCGCCGTGGATTACTGAGGATATCCGCAGGGCTATGGCAAAGCGTGATCGAGAATTTAGTAAATATAAGAGTAATCGGTGTACTGCTAACTGGACTCGATTCAAAGCCGCTAGGAATCGGTGTAATCAGATGGTGCGGGCCGCTAAACGCCGTTATATTCATCGAAATATCCTTAACGCTTCTATGGCTGATTCGTGGAAATTTTTAAAATCAATCGGGATAGGTAAACCTGCTTCTAACTTTGATCCTTCAATCTTCTCTGTTAATCAACTAAATACATACTTTTCTACTGCACCACAGCTGCATTCGTCAATTAAATCTACTACTATTGCCCATGTTAATTCTCTTCCAAAATGTTACAAAAGCTCTTTCAATTTTTCTCCCGTTACTGATGAGGATATAAAAAAGTCAATTTCTTCCATCAAGTCCGCCGCAGTAGGCTCTGATGATGTGAGCAGAATCATG